GAAGCAGTGTTCCATGACGGACAGCAGGCAGTTGCCGTCGGGCGGCAGGTAGACGCGCACACGTCGGGCGACTTGTTGACGACCGTGTCGAGGAAGCCCGGGTCCTGGTGGGTGAAGCCGTTGTGGTCCTGGCGCCAGACGACGGCCGTCAGGAGAATGTTGAGCGAGGCGACCTTGTGGCGCCACTCGACCTCGAGGCACTTTTCGAGCCACTTGCAGTGCTGGTTGACCATGGAGCTGACAATGGGGATGAAGGGCTCGTACGAGTTGAGCATGCCGTGGCGGCCCGTGAGGATGTAGCCCTCGAGCCAGCCCTCGCACGTGTGCTCCGACAGCATCTCCATGACGCGGCCCTCCATGGCGAGGTTGCCGCCGTTGGCGTCCTCGTCAAAGTACTCGCCGAGCCAGACCTTGGGCGCCGCCTCGTACACCTTGCCGAGCTTGTTCGACTCGGTCTCGTCGGGGCCGAAGAGGCGGAACGAGTGCGGGTTCATGGCGACGACGTCGCGCAGGTAGCCCGCCATGTTGCTCATGCTCGCGGCCGTCGTCGCCGCCGACTTGTCGACGGCGAGGGCGTACTTTTTAAAGTCGGGCAGCCGCAGCGGCTTGCGCAGCAGGCCGCCGTTGGCGACGGGGTTGGCGCTCATGCGGCGGTTGCCCTTGGGCGCCAGCGCCGCCTTGAGCTCGGGCAGGATGCGGCCGTCCTTGAAGAGGCGGTCGGGCTCGTAGCTCTTCATCCACTTCTCGAGGATCTGCAGGTGGTCCGGGTTGGTGGCGACGTCGGTGATGGGCACCTGGTGGGCGCGCCAGTAGCCCTCGAGGAAGTTGTCGCCAATCTTGCGCGGGCCGGTCCAGCCCTTGGGGCTGCGCAGGATGATCATGGGCCAGCGCGGGCGGAAGGCCTTGCCCGAGTCGCGGGCCTGCTTCTGGAAGCGGCGGATCTCGTCGACGCAGTGCTCGAGCGTCGCGGCCATGGCCTGGTGCATCGTGTCGACGTCGTCGCCCTCGACAAAGTACGGCTGCCAGCCGTAGCCGAGGAACAGGTTCTCGAGCTCCTTGTGCGTGATGCGCGCCAGCAGCGTCGGGTTGTTGATCTTGTAGCCGTTGAGGTGCAGCACGGGCAGCACGGCGCCGTCGACCTTGGGGTTGAGGAACTTGGTGCTGTGCCACGACGTGGCCATGGGGCCCGTCTCGGCCTCGCCGTCGCCGACCATGGTCAGCGCGATGAGGTCCGGGTGGTCAAAGACGGCGCCGAAGGCGTGGCTGATGGCGTAGCCGAGCTCGCCGCCCTCGTGCAGCGACCCGGGCGTCTCGGGCGTCGCGTGCGAGCCGATGCCGCCGGGGAACGAGAACTGCTTGAAGAAGCGCTGCAGGCCCTCGGCGTCCTCGGAGCAGTCGTGGTACACCTCCGAGTAGACGCCCTCGAGGTACGACTGCGACAGCACGGCCGGCGCGCCGTGGCCGGGGCCCGAGATGAAGACGGCGTCGAGGTCGTGCTTGTTGATGAGCCGGTTGAAGTGCATCCACGTGAAGATCTGGCCCGGCGCCGAGCCAAAGTGGCCCAGCAGCCGCAGCTTCAGGTGGTCCTTGGTCAGCGGCTCCTTGAGCAGCGGGTTCTCGCGCAGGTAGATCATGCCGAGCGACAGGTACAGGCTGGCCTTGAACCAGTCGTTGTAGGCTGCGAGGTCCGACTGGGAGAGGGGCTCGCCCTTGACCGTCGACCGCGCGGGGCCGTAGGGCGAGATGGACTCCTCGGTGGAGGCGCCATTGGTTTTTGAGTCGGCCATGGCTGACCTCGGGGATGGATTGGGTTGTGGTTATTCAGATAAGGGAAAGGGGGGGGAGAGGTGTGTACGTGTACACCAAGTGGTGATGGACGATGGAGGAAAGGAGGGTGAAACACTTGGGGAGGCCAACGTTGGAGGAGGGGCCCCTTTATATACGAGCACAAAAGACACGTCCCCAAGGTTCGACGATCAGGCACGAAGCGAGAACGGCGGTATCTGGTGGCCGGGCCTTGAGGAGTGGTTGGTTGGCTACAGAGCCCACGGCCAGGATCCATTCCATGACGATGATGATCCTGGATAGCTCGAAGGCCATGTGGTGGAGGCGATTCCTGGGCCGCACCACAAGCAGTTAACGTGATTGACCAAGGCCCTACTACGAGATATCGCCATGCGTGTGAGCAGACTGCTCGCGGTGACGGCCGGAAAGGACCCAGGAACACGACGGACCCTACTTGGCAAAAAAATAGCCAAGGGGACCAGGGAGAGGGGCAGCGGCCCGATGGCCTGCGCTGGCGGAAGATCCGAACCAATCGACGCCATCAAGGCCAGCCATTGTTGGATCATGTCTACGCGGAAGAGGGGGCGCGCCGTCACTGTCAAGCAGAGCGGCCGGCCGCAAGCTCCATGGTGCTGATCTATTGTGGGAAGAAGCTCTTGGGCGCAAGAAGGAGGGGGAGCTTCAAGCTGTCAAACGGGCTGCCGACAGGGATCCGGCCGAGACCAAAGCAGCCCTGCCTAGTCTGAGAGCGCCGCCTTCCACAGACAATCGGCCGGAGTGAGCTGATGGGGGGAGCGAGGGAGGGAGGGCCTGGTTGCATGAGATGCAGGACGCGCAGGACGTGCAGGACAGGAAGTGTGTCGTCGTCAACAGGAGACGTGATGGGTGGAGGCTTGAGGGATCAGCTCATGATCTGATATCTCGACTGTCGGTAAAAAAAAAAGTGGTCTGACACTTCGAGCTTCCCACCCCTTTTGCCCTGCACAAATGCCTCTCTTTCTCGCGACACACGCCAATCTTTTTGGTAGACAGACTTTCTCGCGCATTTCTTTTGCTGTTGTGTTCGCTTTCGCTCCTGACGTTCCCATTCTTCTGCCTCTGATTCTGCCGCTGCTGTTCTTGTCGTCATCGATGGAGAGGGTTGTCGAGTCGGCCCAAACTCTGTCGGCCGTCACTAGCGACACTACAAGCCCGAACATCCGTTTCCGGGTGCGCCTATCGGACAACGCGGACCTCGATTGTTTGCAGAGAGCGCAGCACCTTGATGAGGGGGTTTGCTCGTCTCGTATTTTGCTTTACTATCCCGAAGGAAGACGATGTAGACCCATAAGGGCACTTGTCTTCCGTGAAGCGACAACCCTCTCAAAGTCTTGGGCCATGTGGAATGAATGAATGCATGCGATGGGATGCGGGGCAGAGTTGCAAGCCTACGATGAATGTCTCACCTTTCTTCTTCTGTCTGGGCCCCAGGCTGGGCCTGGCATGCATCTCGTGCTCTACCATGACGACTTGGCTTGACAGATCTCCATGATGTACTCCCCTCGGATACGAAGCCGATGCTTGGTGGAGCTTCCCGTTGAAGGTCACCGGAATCCGAACTCTTCGGTCTCTCGGAGACGGCCTTTCACATGCCTCCGCCCCCCTGGCCTGTGATGTGGCCTGTGATGCGTGAAGATGACTATTAATGCTGACGTGCCCCTCCCTCCCTCCTTCTGCTCTGGCTGACTGATGCCTTTATGGCACACTGATGTGGAAGCCAACTTGAGGTCATGCCCAAGCTCCAAGCTCCAAGCTCCCCGCATTCAGCTCCCAAGCCAAGCGCCGAGCTCTGCAGGCCACTGCGGCACGCCAGAGTCAGACAGCTATCGTCGACGACGAGCCTATCAAACAGAGCTCGCTGGCCACGCACGACCTGCGATGACTTCGCCAGCCGAATGGCCTGGGCCCAGCTTCTCTATCTTCCTTCCTGCGTTGTTAGCTGCTGGCCCCTCCTCTGCGTCCCTCCAAGTCAGTCCTGGTCGGGTCGTTGGTTCGGCGCTTGCTTGAGTCGCGGGTGCTCCCCCGAGTCTATGCGTGCTCTTGCTCGAGTGAGTCGAGAGGGCGAGCCACGCCGACTCATTGAGACATGACTCTGGCATGGTCCAGTCGGCACACTTGACTTTTGGACGACGCGCCGTATTAAGCTTTGAGCCCGAACAGTTGAGGGGGCCACCAAGCACTGGACATCAGACGAGGCAGACCACCCCAGCCTCGACCTCAAAGGCTCAAGCGTTCTGCCCAAGCATGTCGTCAATCTCCCTTCCCGCATTCACCCACCCCTCTTCCTCCCCCATGTAGACTCACCGGTCGACCACGGAACCGAGCACATGAGCGCTCCATCTCACAAGGCCGTGAAGACCGTCAAGGCTAGAGGACCCCTCCACTACAGCCCAACTGCCCCGGCCAACAGCAGCCTCCTGCACAAAACAGCTGCTCCTAGTGACCCCCCCCCCCAAATTACCATATCACCCCCGACGTAGCATCGTCCACCGAGAACTGAACTCTGGTGCCCCGAGACAGCAAATCACATGGTCCAACCTGCTCATCATATCTGAAAGGCCCCCTCCCCTCCGAATGCTCCCCCCATCACGAACCAATCCCCGAAGCCTCGCGAGCAGGAGGGGTGGGTATACGTCACGCGCTGATCACCGGGATCTTCTCACAACCTTTCTACCCCTCATGCCCGAAAGGGCCCTTCTTCTTCTTCTTCTTCTTCTTTTCTTCGTATATAATTGAGCACTGACCCCGAAAAAGCGAATCCGCGCTTGGCCATCGGAGGGAACCTCATCATCTTTGACCCCGGAGAAACCACGTCGTCGAAATCTGCCCACAGCCAAGACGCGACAACGAAACCCTTCATCCCGCCATCTCCATCTCGAGTAAACACATAATAAGCCAGTACCACAAGCGGGAAGACTGCTTGGAAAACACACCCGGCGGACTCTCAGAGGCGAAAACAACTCCGCCCGACATGGCCTTCTCGCCCGCGTACCCCATCCACAAGCCATCTACGCCGCAGCCTCCGGCCCCGATCCCTATCCACGGCGGAGACGATGGCGAGAGCGACGTCTCGAGGGACTACTAGCCTCTTTGCCTCAAGGCCTTAAAAATGAATCATCGAAAATGGATGCATGCACGACATGACATGTATGGGGAGTTAAATTCTGAAGCGTGATATTGGGGCGGCGCGATCTGATATTTTGGGGAGCGGAAGCAGGCGAGGCGATGACAAGCACAGAGCAAACAGAGAACGAACATTTCTCGTATAACAGGAATCATGATGGACCGCTGCCCATCGATTCAACATAGATTTCACTCTTCACGCACTCTTTGCGAGTTGCTCAACACCGACAGGAATTATGAGGAATGACGAAGCGATCAATCAATACATACATGTTCACGTCACCTGGCACGCTGCCTTGCGAGTTGATGTAATTTTGAGGTCTTCTTACACTACCATGCCATGCCTGTCTTTGCGAAAAGAGAAGAACTCACTACGAGCAAGAGTGCCATCCCGTCCTTCCTTTCTGCAGCTCGTTCCCCATGTGCAGCAAATAATCGATGCGACGTCCGATGAACCATCCCTCGCGCAGTGTTGCCGGAAAAGAAAAAATCAAGAAACTCAATGCGGATCGAAACCCATCCGCGGGTATCGTCGAACGATGCACACCCAATGTATAGAAGCCGGGTTTGTCGTGCTCTGGTCGTCACATGGACGGAAAACCCCTCCTGAATCGAAGGCTTTCTTTCGGTCCGCGCAATCAAGATGACCCCCATAAGCAAGATTCAGAACGCAGAAGCAAATAATTACATCATCGCCAACATCCCCCGCATGCTCTCATTTCTGGAATGGTTGGTACAGCTGACGCGAGAGCGTCTGATCGGCGGCCTGCATAACAGTGTACGCGACCCAGTAGGCCATTTCAGGGCCAGTTCGGAAGAGTAGTTGCCAGTGGTGTCTGAACAGGGCACCGCTGCCGATGAGGCCGGGCCCGCGGCGAAGGCTCAAAGCTTTGAGGAGCAGGAGGTTGTACTCCACATCATCAATCCTATCAAAGAGTAAGCCCTGGCTGATGCGATACACCCACGAGAGAAAGGTGCGATGATCGACGGCGGTGCATCGAAATCGGTGCTCGGTCGTGCCGTGCGACTGAACCTGTCGGGCCCTCTTTGCAAGCTTCGAGGGCGAGGGCGGGCTGAGCAGCGCGTGCTTCACGACTCGACCGGGTTCTGCTCCGGGGCGTTCAGCATCATACATGGGCACACCACCATAAGAGCTTGTTACCTCGTCCGCGTCTAGTCCACCCGCCCTGGCGTCGGCGACGAGGCCGTCATCCTCAATCCCATCGGCATCACTTTCGTCGAAAGCCATTCCGTCGAGGTACGTCATGTGATCAAAGGGGAAGGAGCCAGCAATCTAGGCTGGACCACCCTTTGCCTGATAGGGCGGAGGTTGTTCATCGACGGGCGAGTTCTGATGAACGGCCGGCGGGAAGCTGTGTAGGCCGCTCGACTGCTCGGCCATCATGGCCGAGAATTCGCCTCCCGAGATGTCGCCGTCGCCGTTGGTGCGGTGACCCTCCACAGGCTGGCGCCGAGGGACATCAACGAGACTGCTGACCTCGTCAGCGCGGACGTAGCAGAGATAATAGGGGTCACCGCCGCCGTTCAGGAGCTTCAGCACATCTTCGGTGCTCGCGTACTCGGTGACAGTCTCGTCGTTGTACTTCCTCCAGATGCCCGCTTCAAAGTCACGAATGTACACCCAGTAGTGTCCGGCGTTGAGCTGGCCGCTGTGACAGATGACTGCATGGAGGAGATATTGATGTTCCCGCAGGTCTTTGAAAATATCTCCCAGACGGTCTAGGTGGGCCTTGGCCTTATCCGCAGCCATAACTTCGATCTGCTGTCTGCTAGGAGGCTCGTAGGGTTGCTCTTGCGTCGAGAGGGGTGAACGGACTTCGAGAGCATCGTCCTCGGGTGCCTTCTCGGCCGCATTGGGCTTGTACTCAAAAGGTTTGCATGGGAAGCTGAACGCAGGAGAAGGCTGGTTTGACAAGACCAGGGGGGAGCCCTCGGGCGCGTCGGAAAGAGTCTCCGTCGGGGGCGTGTCGAGTCCACGTTGGATGAAATGGCCGAGGAGGTCGCTGTTGTCAACCTTGGGCGCAGCGGGTAACTCACCAAGCTTGAGAATCCGCTTCTGGAGAGTCCAGCTGGCGCTCCGGTACTCGTAGAGTCGCGACCCAGGCACGGCGTCAACGAAACGGTCGAGATAGAGATCCTCGCTAACAATCACTGGATTACCGTTCTTCGTGCCGTTACTGCTGGTGCGCTGAATCATCACTTGCAAGATCGCGGGCGGCTTGACCGAGCAATCAATGCCACTGTATCGAGTGTAGCCGCTGTCTTCAACGTACTCGAGATCGAAGTTCCGACTGAGAGCATCGTTGATGTCACACGGCCCGCTTTGAGAAGGAAAGGCGCTAACGTAACGGTCGAACGTTACTTGGACTTGAGGCTCTTGCCCGTCTTTCTGGTTGCGAGTTTTGATCGAGATGTAAAAGATATCCATGATCAGGTCGAGCTGCATGCCATCTTCCGTAACACGGGTGTGCTTGATGGCGCCCTGAATTCTATCCAGCAAGCGACCCAAGACTTCTCCGACATCCTGTTGTTCAGTACCAGATGAGCGCTTCTGCGTCTCAAGAGCAGCAAGAACCCGTGCGTCGTTCATGGGATCGTCACTGTCAGCCACAGTGACAGCAGTGTCTTGGTTGCTCTGCAGGCGTCCAGCTTCGCCCTCAATGGAAGGTAGAACATCTCCTTCCATGGGACCGCCCACCTTGTCCGACTTGAGGTCAATATCCATAGCATCGCCGATCAGGGTCTTGCTGCTGCCGGTGCTAGCAGCATCAGAGACCGCGTCCACAGATACGTTGACCATGTCGATATCCTGTCCGTTGTGAGCGCCGTAGGCAGTTTCGGCATGTTCGACATGTTCGACGTGCTCAGTCTGTGTCTGAGGCGCATTCGGGGGAGGTCGGGCAGGGAGGGGGGGTGGCGCTGGAAATTGGACGCCCATGACATCGGGTAGAATCTTCGACTGGCTGGAGCCCTGGTCCTTCGAAGCACCCTCCGCAATCTCTTGAACTAGGAAGAGGGCAGCGTTGGCCAGGCGCTGTGCAGGTTTGACAGCGACTTGGTCGCTTGTGTACAGGCTGTTGAACAGCTTAGACAGTTCCTCGGCGCCTAGGGCGTGTCAGTCTTGGTCATAATGAACAGGGGTCATGGGGAAGCACGCACATGCGAAGGATACAACAGCATCAGGACGGGTCAGCGGCATGCGGTTGCTACCAATCCGACGTGCGGCGATGCTCTCATCGCTGAGGTCCAACTTGTGGTCGTCAAAGTTGAGGACTAGATCTCTCACCGGTTTGACAGTGTAGAGATATTGCAGGATGCTGTTCAAGTAACAAGTGTTGCCAATGTTCTTGAGGCCGACGGGTAGATCATAGCGCACAACAAGCGCTTGGGCAGCTGTAAGTTGGTTGTCTTGCGATAGCATGAGTTCCTGGGCAAATGCCGCGAGACGGTCGCTCTTTCTGTTCCGCGAGATTGTATCGAGAGCTTCAAGGCATTCATCCTTGATGTACTGGTTTCCAGGGTGGCTCTTGATCTGCATTTTAGGTTAGCCCTGTCTGTTGCCAAAATTGCATGATATGGCATAAACTCACCTTGGTGCTAACCATGGTCTCGATGAACTCGTCGTCATACTGTTCATTCGCTTCGAGCCACACAAAAGCGGTGTTGAGAGACATTGGGCCTTGCGCAGCCTCAATCAAGCGGTCACTCTTCCTCGAACGACCCAAAACCAAAAGGAACTCTTTGGCGAGACCTTCTTGTTCTGGATCTCTCTGGACCTTCTCCTTAAATTTGCTCACAATGACATGGTCGCCAACTGCTTGGATGTTGTCAAGGCCGAAAAAAGAAGCGGCCTGCCATACCATGGCTGTGTCATCGTTGTCCCCGTTTGCAATCACGGCTGCACCAGGGTGGTCGATCTTTGATTCCTCCACAGTCGCCTGAAGCATCAGTTCGTCATCTCCCAGGCGTTTCGCATTATTAGCGAGTGCATCAGTGAGGAGCTTGCGGTTGGTAGGCCATATCAGGCACTGGCGGTAGTACGCAAAGAGCGTCAGGCTCTTGTCAAAGTTGGGAAGGACTCCCAAGAGCGAGAATTCAGCATCGCGTGGGTTAATGCTCTGGACATGGAAAGACTTGTTCTGCGGCCAGTTGAAGCAATGGAGCGCTTTCTCTAGTCGGTCCATAGCTGAGTCATGATGTGGCGATGCAGGGCCTTGCTGGCCGAGGGCGATGATGCGGTTCTCAACTTCGAAGCGCATGTCTTCGACGAACGAGCGTAGCGTTCCAATCTGCGTGGGCGGGTTGGGCGGTTCGAGAGGCTCAGGGACGAAATAGTCCTCGTCAGCACCGTCGTTGTCAAGCGTCTGCTCCACGAAACCCAGTGCGTTAAAGAGGGGCCAAAGTTCTTCGCCGAAGGAAACTTGAAATCGCTTGTTACGCTTTGAAATCTTTCGACTCTGGGGATCGCTCAGTCGATTTTTCAGATACGTGTTGAGCAAGTGAAGACCGGACGAGAGCCATTCATCCTTAAAGTCGGCAAAGCGTTCGGGCTGCGTCTGCCGGGCTTCTTCCAGGCGTTTGCGGGCACCATCCATGTCTTGAAGTGTCTTGAGCCACTCAAGGTTGAGGCGAGGGAGATACGCTTCCACGGTCACTTGTAGGGAGCAGGAGGCGCCCGAACATTTATACTGTGACCGGCCGACCAGGGGAGACCGATGAGGGTCAGCCAGCTGCTCGCATTCCTTGGATGACCAAGTGCTCTCGTGAACGAGATGGTGCGCCAGGTCCTCGGCCTCGGGCGGACAATCGAGGCTACCAGTGTAGTGGGCAACTCCAGCATTGCAAAGGCCTTGAGCGCGGGACTCATCATAGACGACCTTGACAACAATGTGGTGATCGCAGCCCCGGCACAGAAGCGACAAGATAGTCGGATTCGCACCC